GACAGAAAGAGAGAGAGAGAGAGAGAGAGAGAGAGAGAGAGAGAGAGAGTATGAATCCTAAGCAGGCTTCATGCTCAGCAGAGCCAGAAGGGCCTTGATCCCATCATGAATCTGGGGTCATGACCTGAGCCAAAATCAAGACTCAGATTCTCAACCTATTGAGCCACCCAGGTGCCCCACTAGTTTTATTTCTTTATATCACCTATCCTAACATGAGCTATTGCTGAATTTCACTTTAACAAAGAAGTAAATACAGGGGCAGCTGGGTGGCTCAGTCAGTTAAGCGTCTGACTTCAGCTCAGGTCATGATCTCACTGTGGGTTTGAGCCCCACGTCGGGCTCTGTGCTGACAGCTCAGAGCCTGGAGCCTGCCTCGGATTCTGTGTCTCCCTCTCTTCTTCCCCTCCTCTGCTTGTGCTCTGTCTCTCTCAAAAATGAATAAACGTTAAAAAAAATAAAAAGTAAATACAAAGACTTGTTTTATTTAGCAAGACTGAAAATAAAACTCAGATATAAATTCACACCTTTAGTGTTGTCTAAAACAATTCCTCCAGCTATCAACCTAAGGCAATTAATCCAGCATATAATTTATAGAATTATTAATATAACAAGAATCATTTCTCATTTACAAAGGGGGTCATTAAACTGTTGGGGCTCTTTCAAAGTAGAGTTTGTTTGACTATTCAATTACCAGCTTACACAGAAATGGAAATACAAACACAAACTGATTGGCTATTAACTCTTTTCTAAGGAAGCAATAGAAACCGTGGCTAGAATCCTACTGAGCACTAAAGTAGAGGTTAAGTTCATGGACACAGAGCAGCCACTAGCCAAGATACAGGTTTATTTTCAACTGAGGGAGGTTTATCTTCAATCAAACTTAGAGAAGTCAGTAAATACGGTGATCTTACTTTCACTACTTACTCTCTGTAAATGGCAAAGTTATCAATGCTGAAAGATACACATACCCATAGAAATTACAACAGATCATGTATAAAACAACTTTTTTTTGATCAATATAGTGCTACAATTGTCAATTTTTTTCCTCCTTCAACTGAATATGACCACAGTTACCTTCAGATTTATGTTATTTTAGTCTTATAAAAATTATTAACAAACTTTGGCTTCCTTGCAAATATTCTGTCCTTATATTAAAAAAGTGATTAAAAACAGTACCGAATATGAACCACTTCTGTAAAGTTTAGTGAGAAACATTCAGCCAAGGTGACTTTTCCTTGGAAAATCCTACAAAAACTGAATTTTATAAACAGTTACTTATTTTGATAGAAGTTCCATTTATAAATAGCAGCCATGACTTTGCTGCCTACAAAATTGTAGGCTGTCACATTTTACATGTTTAGAACTCAAATGCTTTAAGATCGGATTTTCTAGTGAGTGTTAAAGAAACAAAGTCGCACAGACAGACTGGTTAGTCCCATGCTGAGGAAACCACTGACCTCCATGATTTCACCATTTAGGCAGGTTATAGATAACCGTTGAATTTGAACCGAGGGCTACTGCAACATTTATACTTTGTGGTTAAAGAGGAAGCAACATTAGCAGTGAGGGGGGCAGGTGCAGCAGACTTTACTGAGGCTCTGTTGTGGTTAAAGTGTATCTAGTGCAAGGGACAAACTATCACAGAATGTTGGTATTAGGGAGACTTTCAAGTTAAGAACCTGAGCAAACGTACTGTTCAGAGGCTGAGACATCCTTGCCTTGGGTTCTGTTAAGGTAGCGTTTTCTGAGGCCGAGGAGGCAAGTCTCAGGGTAGGGGGAGCTGACAAATATGAAAACTGGGGATGCTGGATGTCATGTGTCCTGCTGCTCCTAACAAGGGATCAATGGCACCGAAATGGAGGAGGGTGAGTATATCTTAATGACGGTTACCCTGCTGGCCTCGGGAGACTGACTGTCTTCTGCAAGCACCTGTGAGCACGTTAAAACCCATCATTCCAACAAACATGTGGTTGCTTGCACAAAGTGTGACCAGGACCAGTGGTTTGAAAATTCTAAGTCCCAGAGATAAGAACAGAGAAGGGCAGCATTTCAGAGGAGTTCACATTTTGTTTCTACTAAGCAGGCTGATTGTTCCCAGGACCCTAGACAAGCCTGGTGCTACTTGGGAGCAAGCTGGCCCGAATTTTGGGGCCGTTTGATAAACCAGGTCTGGGCATGGGATCAAAAATGAAGTGGGGATCCGTGCCAGAAAGTATCATTCATAGTATCGCTGAGGGGGTACAGTGGTAGTTTCTTTGGTGGCGGGGGGAGGGGGGGAGGCTAATAGCAAGGCTGAATCCTCAACCAGAGCTTGTCATGGAGAATACCAACGTGTTTGCAAGTTAACTCGAGACAACCTAACAATCTGGTGCACGACTCGTGGGCTACATAAGCTGAACGTCACCCCACCCCCCGTTTCAGGATAGAAGAAAACCTTTCTTTCATGTTTGTTCTCCTCCATCCCAAATCTCCCAGAGTGACTCAAATTTTTCCTACTTAGAAATGGAAAAACAAAAACAAAACTAAAACCAAACTCAAACATTTGAACAGATTTTGGTGCAGCCCTTCCAACCCAGGGGCCGGGGCAGGGCCTCGGGCATGTACCCCCATCACTGTCTCTTGAGATTTAGCACTCAGTCTGACCCCTGTGTGGCTGTCAGTGCCCTAGATTTAAAAACACGCGCTACTTAGAGAATGGGCTCCCTTTTTATCGCTGCATCAGACTAATGCCAGCACAAGCTAGAAGCATTATGACTAGGAGATCTTCCAGGGGACCTCCTCCTCCTCCTCCCCCACAGGAGCTCTTCAAGGTAGAATCCCCACAATAGAAAAGGCTCGTGATCTCAAGGAACGTACGCAGTTTGCCAAGCAGGTGCCACGGTGGCTGAGAGAGATGACGACCCCACGTCAGCAGCTATTAAGACACGTGGGTTGTTTGTTCCTGTCTTCCTGATGCCGAGTGGAATCAATGAACAGACGTGAGGGGAAAAAACCAAATCACAGAACACGTGAAAAGTTTTAAAAAGAAGCGTGTGGTGGTGCCCAAAGCCTGACTCTGGAGTGTAGTTGGAAACCACCGCTCTTTGAGCCCTGGGGCAAGGAGGGCTGTGGACAGAAAGGTCTGCAGAGCTGACAGCTCAGGTTCTTCCTTAAGAGGACTCCGGAAGAGCGTGCCAACGTGACTCACAGACGCCCCGAGAGAAATGCCAGCAACGCCCAACATCCCCTGCAGCTGTCCCCCCGCAGCTCTGCTGGCAAACTCAAAAGCACACATTTGCTCAGTTGCTGGGCCTCACCCCCAGGTGTCTCCCACCTTGGAGGCAGGGGCGAGAAAACTGGACCCCGTTTTCCCAAATAAGGGAAATCAGATCACCTGGAGGCAACACCCTACGTTTCTCCCACTCTGTAATGACTGAGTCCCTCCTTAAATCTGCTTCAAAGGGCTAAAATTAGTGTCTAGAGGGCAAAGGTCAAAGCCATGGTTTCCCAGTCTTAACAGAAGTCATCTGACCCACTTACCTGAATAAAACCCCAAATCATCAACCCCTTCCCGTCCTTCCCAGGGAGGGGATCTATTTAAATCCATTTCTTCTTTTTTTTCACCACCGAATGTGGGAGAGAGTCAAGGCAGGTAATGTGGGAGGGAGGAGCATCCTGGTTCATCATTCAAAAATAAAGATCTCTTTTAAGTGTCATTTGAGGTCATATACAAAAATTTCAATTCTCCTCAGGGTCTGCTTCCAAGGGGTCATCATCGAAACTCAGCTTGTCAGCTAGCCCCTCGAACTGCTTGCCCAGACCGCCTGCGGAGTCCATGAACATGTTCGGGATGTCTTTGCCAAAGTAAATCTTGCTGTTGGAAGCAATGGCTTTGTACTTCATCAGCTGCAAATACTCAGGGGTCAGCTTCAGCTGTAAGAAAAAAGGAAAGGCGGCTATGTGGAGGCAGATTCAAGAAAACTCTGGGTGGCACCCTTCACTTTTCACAAGGAGAGGGTCTTTGTCGAAGAAATGTGCCTTCCCTACCCCTTCCTGGTCTCACTGTTCTGTTAGTAACGGGTACTGATTTCCAAGGTCAGAGCTGCAAGGGAGTTTTAGGGAGTTTCTGGGTTTAGCACGACAACTGAGCTTCTATTGAGGCACGGCTAAGGAACAGGGGAGCACCAGGCCCACACAGCACGGCAGCCAGCACTTCTGGCTAGGAGGGGCTTTGGTGGCAGTGGCCATCCAACATCACGAGCTCTCGAACCACATCAGCCCAAAGCCAAATATACCCTCTCGTCACCAGGTGCATTGGGCTTTACCTTGTTTGCTTCAGCGATTTTCATAGCGGTGTAGCACTCGGCATCAGCCTTTGCCTTCTCCCGGGCCAGAAAGGCAGCATCTGAGGGCAAGAACGCAGTGAACTGCAGTGTAGACGTTACCAGAACCCTGGGCCCTGTGACGTTCCCCTGGTTGCCTCTGTGACCTTGGGAGACTGCTCTTTTCTCTCTGTGGTTTGGTTTCCTGTTCCGTGAAATGGTGGAAAGAGGCATTTTTTCCTACTTCACAAGTCGTTGTGAAAATCAACCATGGGTGAAAAATGCTTTGAAGGCATCTCCGGGTAGTGGGGACCAACTCTGAGCACGTCTGTTGCTATGCCCAGCGACACTTACGAAGGTAGTCTCGGGAAAAGTGCTGCCAAGGGACACTTCCTGTGTCCACAGGCTGAGTCCTTGTCGCTCCGCGTCTGGGAAGACAGGGGTGGGGCGCCACTTCACCCCTCTTGTGCTGCACAGCAAGAGCGCGAGAAGCCCAAAGAAGGCTCTAAAGACAGCCAGAAGTGGCTCCCCCTAAACCTGGATGCCACGAACATGAAACAGCTCGGTCCCTCTCCACCTTCATTTCTCTTTTATTTCCACTGACCATTTCAAAAAGATTCTAGTTAACACTGGTTAAGCTGGCACAACTCCCAACAAGAGAAGTCCATGCCATGGTCCAGACTAACACCTGTTTGGATGAAGACCTACTTAAACTTCCACCATGCAAGCAAAACACTTCCTTAATCTGCTGAGACCAGCTTTCTGTCAAGCTGATGCAAAACTTTTTTTTTTTTTTTAATTTTTTTTTCAACTTTTTTTTAAATTTATTTTTGGGACAGAGAGAGACAGAGCATGAACGGGGGAGGGGCAGAGAGAGAGAGGGAGACACAGAATCGGAAACAGGCTCCAGGCTCCGAGCCATCAGCCCAGAGCCTGACGCGGGGCTCGAACTCACGGACCGCGAGATCGTGACCTGGCTGAAGTCGGACGCTTAACCGACTGCGCCACCCAGGCGCCCCTGATGCAAAACTTTTGATGCTTGCTCCCTTGCCTTGGGAATGTGGCCAGCCTCATGTAATATCTGTAGCAAAAAGCCTGGAAGAAAGGTCAGCCTGTGGGTGGGTTCTTACTGCACACCCCCAGCACGGCCCCAGGCGGAAAGAGCGCGCAGTCTGGCAGGGGCGCTGGCTGCATGGGGCCCGCTCGAGTGGTCTTAGCACCTGATGACATGTTTTTATAAGAAATAAAAATGCGTTGTTTTGCAGAGAGCTCCCTAACAAGGAACTGCTGGCCTGTAAAATCCCAGCTGGCTCCTCACTGGGCCCCTGCAAAGCCTGAGAGCCCCACGGTGAGTACAAGTTGACATGGCATTTCGAAGCTGGGCCTCGAGGTCCTATTTTTGTCCTAGAATTTGCTTGATATAAGGCACCACGTGAAGGAAAGGGCAGGTGGTGGGGATGAGCTGAGGGCTTAGGGGCAGGGAACTGAAGGTGAATAATATTCAGAAAAGCCAGTCAAGAAAACACTTTTCTCCAGCTCCAGTGTTGTTGGTACCGAAAAGGTGTCTTTTTCAGACCTGCCTCAGGATCTACCATAGGGATACTGAGAACAGACTTAGAAGCCACAGCTGTGGGGGGTAGGCACGGCACAAGCAGGGGCTGTTCTGCCTAGCCTCTGAGTTCACTGCCACTGAGACCCTTGCCAGACAGCAGGGATTTACACAATTTCCCTTTTTCTTACTCCTCACCCGAGAGCACCTAACAGCACTACATGGACATTTGTTGAATGAATGAACGCTCTCTGAAGTGGAAAACGTATGCCAGCCTGGCCCAAATCTCCCCCAAACTTGAGTCAAAGCACAGAGGAATCAGGACATCTTAGAACAAAGGTTAAAGAGCCAAGGAAAGGGCTCTCCCGACCCTACCCCCACCCAGCCACACAGTGGGGCGTGAGGAAAACTCAGGCACTCATTTCAGCTTTGCTCACCTTCAATTTCCGAAATCTTTTTCTCGGTCTCCTTCTCCATCACCTTCTGCCCATAGGTGATTTCTGCCACCTGAGCCACTTTTTCTGCCTCTGTAGTGACGATGTTGAGAAAAGGCTTAGAGCACTATGGATATCTCACAGGCTAGACTAAATCCCACCCTTCCTGTGATCAGAGTCCCTGATGCGGGGATGTGGATGTGTTCAGAGGGAGGGCCCCAGAGGGTGACCACGGCGGGCACGTGTGGACTGCACCCGTGAGTGCAGTACCCCGACATCGGCACGAGACAGTCAGCCGGGAGACCTGGGCCCTCCCACGAAAGCGAGGAATGAGTCCCAACCTCTCTCCTAAGTCACAGGGGTGTTTCTCCCAAAAGAGTATTTTAAGGAATACGGTAGTGTCTAAAAAGGTTCTTCCTGCCACTTGACTCTGGGAAGCAGTCAGTAGTCATTGATGATCTAGTGCAGAGGTTAGGAGCTGGGTTCTGGCCAGGGTCTCTGCGGGTGAACCCCATTTCCACCACTTACTTGCCATATGACACTGGGCACGTTAATTAGTCCCTTCGTGCTTGTGAGGAGACGAGTCACATGTAAGTGCTTAGAAAAGTGCACGGCTCATGGTAGGTGCTTGAGAAGTATTAGCTACTACTGTTATCGATTAAGAATTAACTAGGAAGGGATCCTTTCATTTCAGAGATAGGGGGAGACTCAAAGCTCACCGGCCCTGCCCACCATCTGACAATTTCAGCGTCGCTTCTGGGAGTACAAGTGCCGCTCCTGTGCGCGGCCAGGGTTTGCAGGACCGTGTGACCTAACCGCGCCCAAGGCTTCCTCGCCATCTGCCCGCCTTCCCCAGCCCTTCCGCCCTGAGAGGGGATCCCAGAACCACATCCAGACCGATCAGGGCCTTCTTGCGCTCTGTCTCAGCTTCCTTCTCCACCACCTTCTGTTTCTGGGCTGCAATGAGCAGCTTTGTCTTCTCGCTTTCCCTGAAGGGAAGAACAGTATGCAGCCGTGAGGCGGCTGCTGAAAACGCTTCCGAGGAACTTCACTGTCCCCTGGAGGAACCAAACTTCTGCTGAGGAGAGGCAAACCTGGCTTTCTCACTCTCGCCTGGAAGGCTGTTCCCTGTCCCAAGTAAGAGCAGATCTATTGCAGGCAGTAACGCGGCTCTCTTTCTCCTCCCAAATAACTCATTTGTGTGAAGTAAAGCATAACTTACTTAGGTAAAATGCACCTGCCTGCCCACTGAACCGCCTCTCCCTCCCATCTTCTTTGGCACGAGCCATGAAGCACAAACAATGCCCCCTGGCCCTTTTCAAAGCATCGCTGCTTGAAAGGGCTTCTCCGGAGCCCAGGTGACTGTTGCGACACACCTGCCCCATCTTACGGTGCAGTGGGCTGTGCCGAATACTCAAGGAGGGGAAGAAACGCGTGGCACGGCTTCGGTTAACTCTGGGATGGGATGAGGTGAGGGGTGTGGGACAGAGTGGGGGGTACAGGTTGGGCAGAGGGAATACTCACATCAACTCGTAGTTTCTGCGGATCGCCTCGGGTATATTGGGCTTTGTCACCCGCACAGCCTGGGGAAGGATAAAAATAGCACCTGATGGGAAGGTGAGGGTGGTGAGGGACCCGAACAGCTGCCACTAGCCCTTGATCTGCTTGCACGAGAAGGACATCCCTTGGAAGAGCGGGGGATACACCTTTACCAGGGGGTGTCCCACAGTGGCCATGCTTACTTGGATGACGAGCCCGGGGGCCATGGAGGTCAGGTCCTGTTGCAAAGCCAGCTTGAGATTTTCATCAATCTGATCTGGAATCAAGAAAGACCGAAAACGTTGTTGTTACGTTTTTTCGGCAGGGTGGAGGAAAGTGTGAGGGCAGAGTACAAACTAACACGCCAGCTCAAGAATGCACCTGACAGGCCAAAGGTCTTTCCAAGGCAGAGCCCAGAAATCTAAAGATACCCTGCACGTCTTTCTTGTTTTTAAAAAATTTTTATGTTTATTTATTTTTGAGAGAGAGACAGAGCACGAGCGGGAGAGGGGCAGAGAGAGAGGGAGACACAGAATCTGAAGCAGGCTCCAGGCTCTGAGCTGTCAGCACAGAGCCAGACATGGAACTTGAACTCATGAACCAGAAGATCGTGACCTGAGCTGAAGTCAGATGCTTAAATGACTAAGCCACCCAGGCGTCCCCTGCCACCCATCTTTCAAAGTGACATCCCTGTGCGGCCCCTCTACATAAGCTAGATGGGAGAGTGTCCTTTTCCTGTGGCCTCCAGATAAAATCACCGAGGCTGTTGAAAATATCAACCTTGCCCAAAAGGAAACTGAGCTTTCAAAAGAACAAGTACAAACAACAATTCTAGCACATTTCTTGAGTCAGGCAGCAGCCTTCCCCTAGACAACAGCAGCGAAACAGAGGGCGGGCCCCCATTTTCCAGAGGAAGGAAGGTGGAGTGGCTGTGTTAGGTATTTCGAAGGGAGCCAAGCACATTAAATCTGGTAATTTTAGAAGTTTCTACCAGAAAAACAGACTCTGACGTCAAGGAAAGCCCCAGGGAAGACTATTTCCATTAAGAACTCCCATCAAATAACACAAGGGGAAAATGAAAATTTACGGTTCTGGAAATGAGCCCAAGTCCTCTGATGTGTCGTTTGCTTTGGCCCTGATTGCTCTGTCAGAATTCACATGGGAGTTGTTTCATAGGGAAGTTTAGGAAGAGCTCTAACTGGTTGCCCATTCTGGCTGTGACCGTGCGGGGCCACAGCTGCCCTCTCTGGCCTGGGCCTTCTCTGCCCGGCCCGGTCCCCCCCCCCCCCCCCCCACCACCTCCTGAGGTTTTCTATAAGACCCTGCAAGGCCCTGAGAAGACTCCATGAAACCTCGAAATCTGGCTGGGACATCGGAACTGAATCACCTCTCTTATTACTGTCAGCTGTCACCTGCTTGAAGTAGCCGTTCTTGGTCACCTGTGCCCAAAGAGGAGCCACTGCCATCTGCCTTTAACAGATGCCCAAATGGAGGCCCATGGAGGTTCAGTGATGTGCTCAAGCGAGTTAGCAGTCAAACTAATAAACCTGTTTGGTCACTATGCTTTAATTTTTAGGTCTAAAATGGCACTTTCTTCAACTGTCATATCAGTCAGCAAGGAATTTTAACATTTCTATGGACTGGATATGCTCTCATGAGCCTGTCAGCATGAGGGAGAAATGCCCCAAAGGCAGCACCTCAGACCTGATATGTGTTTAACAATTTGACAGATGGAGATAAACATCACGTTTCATATTTTCTATTTTAGATCAACCAAATTTGAGATGTTCTGTGCCCTCCCTAGGTTAATAATAACATTGTCATTTATTAGTGGACACCTGTGGTCCTGGGCTAGTAACTTTCTAGGACAATCTGGAAGAAATATTTTGCAAGGTGGTTTATTATCAAAGCAATACTAATAAGTTTTTTACACATTATAGTTCTGCAGATAAATTCTGATTAGGTTATATTACACAAAGAGGTTGAATCAGGTCAACTTCTGAGCAAGTACCAGGTAATGTTTTTATAAAGTGGGCAGACTGGGGTGCCTGGGTGGCTCAGTTGGTTAAGGGTCCGACTTCAGCTCAGGTCATGATCTCATGGTTTGTGAGTTCAAGCCCTGCATTGGGCTCTGTGTGGACAGCTCAGAGCCTGGAGCCTGCTTCAGATTCTGTCTCGGTCTCTCTGCCCCTCCCCTACTCGCTCTCTGGCTCTCTCTCAAATATAAAAAATAAAACATAAAAAAATTTATAAAGTGGGCAGAGAGGATGCAGCAGGGTAAGCAGTGATGAGAATTAGGCCGCGAAGCTGAGTCAGGGCTGTGAGTCCTGAGAGGACAGAACCAGGAGAAAACCTCCTTGCCTAACGAGTAGGATTTGAGACATGAATTTCTCCTTTACAGATGCAAATAGATTCTAAGCAAGAGAGTGATCTCCCAAGACTTAATTTTTTTAATCAACTGATTAATTTTTTGAGAAAGAGAGAGAGCATGAGCAAGGGAGAGGGGCAGAGGGAGACAGAGAGAATCTTAAGAATCTAAGCATGGAGCCTGACGTGGGACTCAATTCTACAACCCTGGGATCATGAGCTGAGCCAAAATCAAAAGTCAGATGCTCAAGCGACTGAGCCACCCAGGCACCCCAAGACTTAACTTTAAAAAGAAAAACATGGGGCGCCTGGGTGGCTTGGTCGGTTAAGTGCCCGACTTCGGCTCAGGTCATGATCTCACGGTCCGTGAGTTCGAGCCCCGCGTCGGGCTCTGTGCTGACAGCTCAGAGCCTGGAGCCTGTTTCAGATTCTGTGTCTCCCTCTCTCTCTGCTCCTCCCCTGTTCATGCTCTGTCTCTCTCTGTCTCAAAAATAAATAAATGTTAAAAAAAATTTAAAAAAAAGAAAAAGAAAAAGAAAAACATTTCAAAGCAAATATATTTTCTGAGCTTCTCTGTAAAAGAAGCTTCACTAAGCTACTAAGTTTATCTCTATGAGAGTAAGTTTTCTTTCTTTCTTTTTACTTTATCTTGAAGATTTTATTTTTAAGTAATCTCTACCCCCAATGTGGGGCCCGAACCCATGACCCTGAGATCAAGAGTCACGTGCTCCACTGACTTAGCCAGCCAGGCGCCTTGACAGTAAGAAGTTTTCTAACGCAAAATGATGTCACATTTTCATTTTCTCTTCATGGAAATTAGATTCCTTTGCCTTTTGTTGTTTCAAATGCTTTAAAATGTTCATTTAATGGCACAAGTTCTAAAACAGTGGCTCTAGAGAAAAGTAATGATATTTTATAAAATGCTAATCAGTTTGAGGTAAAAAAAAGAAAATAAGGCAAACTTACTGCATTTTTTGTAAAAGCATGCTGAATCCAAACCCTCTAAAGGGAATTTAGATTCACTTCCTACTGCAGAAAAATTGAAAGTGACTCTGACGATTTCCCAAATCTGGAACACCGTGTGCAGGGGGGCTCTGATCGCGGTCTCCGGCAGCACCAGACGCTCCTCCCCTGCCTACTCTGAAACGTCTTCACGCACGGTCCTTTTTCAGGAAGATTCCTGGGAAAATCACTGTCTAGTCCTCATATCAAGACTAGCTGTACCATCGTTTACTTTCGGCACCGGCTACTAGAACACTTCCGGCAGCAAGCTGAACCAGAACGCTTCTTGCGAAAGAGCTTTAAGGATTACTGAACTGTTTCCCTCCCTTGCTGCTATAGTCACACTATGTTTATTTTGGTGGCTAAAGAGGACAAAAGGTATCCACTTAAGTACGTGGATTCTTTTAAGGATTTTCCTATTCATCCCTACAGGTATAGGGTTAAAAAGACCCACCACCACAAAGCTCTGGGAGCTTTAAGTAGCTATGGTCCTTGTCCCCTTTCCAGAATTAAATGCGACTCCTGCCGTCCTCCTCGCCTTTCCTGGCTCCCCTGCATTCGGCGTGGTGTGGTGGGAAGCAAGGTGAAGCGAGAGTTCTAGCTTCAGCCCTGCCATTTGTCTCTTTGGGCCTCACTCAGTACCCTTATCTGAAAATGAGGCTGCTGGGTTGGATACTCTCTCAGGTTCTTGAGAACTGACCCTGTCTTATTATAGAAGGGTGTTTTAGGGACAGCAGGTGTTTTACGACTGCCATTCCAGCCCTGATGTGGACCAGGAGGCCTCCAGTCCACTGTCATCCGTGTGCCCAAACTTCACCTGCCTTCTTGACCTTCTGCTGCTATCAGCACAGACCGGTTCCTGAGCACTGGGCTTGCACTTCCTGTCCACCCGTACCCATCCTGCCCTACGGTGGCTCGGAAGTCGGTGGTGGGGGGAACAGCTGCCAAGGCATGCCATGGCCAGAAGAGGCTTCCTTACCAAAGAGCTCGATGTAGACCTCCTGAAGCGTATGCACGCTGCAGAACTGGTTCAGTTCGTGGTGGATCTTGTTGAAGATGAGGGCCTTGTCGTAGTCAGCAGTGTAGTTCTTCACTATGTCATACACTGGGAGGGAGGGTGGGATTGCAAGGTAAGAAAAAGCAGCCCCCCCCGCCCCCCGCCACTGCCTGAGGTGCTGCAGCAGATCCTGGTGGGGGGGGGGCACGCAGGGGGACATGCTGGGCAAAGTAAGCCGGTGGAGAAGGGAAACTGGAAAAACGTACCTGCGTTTGGGACCAAGAAGTTCACCACTTCAATTCTGTCAAAGTAGATCATTACACCACCACTGTTGGAGGAAGAAGGGACAGAGAAGTCACCAGTAGGCTCTGGAACATAGTGCAGTCCCAGGGTGATGGCGTAAGAAGTGTGACTCAGCAGGAAAGAGTTCGCGGGAGGTCAGAAGGCAGGAGGGATCTCCAAGTAGGAATCTTCCAAGTTTGGAGCAAGAACACAGTCTCCCAAGAAACCACACCTCCTAAAAATATCTCCAGACGGAGAAAAATGAAACTTTTGGGGGTACCAGTAAGAAAAAGAATAGTGTATCTTTTGAATCTGCCATGCCTTTTGACTGAAGCAATCAATTTCAGGGAAAAGTCAAGGTGTTCTCAGAACTTAAAGGTCACAGTGGGATTTTCCAGTCACCATTTCTCACGGTCTCCACCCTCACTTTGGTTCAGCCCTTCCCTTTCCCTGCAAATATTCGTTTTTATAAACAATTTTGGGTATACAGGAACGGTGAAAAGAATAGTACAACTAACGGCCGTACACGAACACTAAACTTAACAGCTGTTAACATTTTACCTTATTGATTGATCTTTTTTATGCTGAACATTTCAACGTTGCAGTCATGATACTCTTTACCCCTTCAAACTTTAGTAAGCAACACTCACCTAGGAGTAATGACATTCTCCTATGTAGTCCTAACTCCATCCCCAAACCTAAGAAAATTAGCAAGAATTCCTTAACAGCCTCTGATACCTAGTCCTTATTCCAATTTCCTCACTCGATCCTGCTGCGGACTGAAGTGTGTGCCCTCCAAAAAGCCTTAAGTGTAAACTCCAAAACCCCCAGGTGACTGTATTGAGAGATGGCTTTTCAGGTGGTAATTAAGGTTATGAGGGCTTAGGGATGGGGCGCTCACCCAGTTAGAGTGGTAAACGAAAAAAGGCAGCCACCAAACATCTTTCTCCCTGCATGTGCAGAGGAAAGGCCGTGTGAGCACACAGCAAAGCCACCACATGCAAACGAGGAAGAGAGGCTTCACCAGTTTCCACCCAGTCTGTGGTGCTGTGTTATAGCAGCCCGAGCTGACGAATCCAGGCCTTCTCTGTCTTTCATAGCTGGTATTTTTGAACCAGGTTCTAATCAAGGCTCACCATCCATCACATTTATGTCTTTTAAGTCTCCTTTTCAACCCAAAGCTCCTCCTTGTGATGAGATCAGGCCCATTATCCCGTGAGATGCCCTAATTCTGGATTTGCTCCCATGTTTCCTTGTGGTGGTGTTTGTCACCCTGTCCAGTTTAGATCTCCTTTACTTTCCAAGCGGACCACTAGAGCAGTGTTCTGTTTGGATCACCAGACCCTGAGGTCTCCCCCTACCTTTTAATTTATTTTTTATTATTATTTTAGATGTTTATTTATTTTTGACACAGGGAGAGCGCAAGCGGAGGAGGAGCAGAGAGAGAGGGAGACACAGAATCCGAAGCAGGCTCCAGGAGCTGAGCTGTCAGCACAGAGCCTGATGTGGGGCTTGAACTCACGAACTGTAAGATCATGACCTGAGCCGAAGTCGGCCGCTTAACCGACTGAGCCACCCAGGCGCCCCTCCCCCTACCTTTAAAACATTCTCCATAGCTGGTTATGCGAAACCTATCTTCTTGTATCGGGTCATTTGCCTGCTGAAGGCCTTTAGTGGATCTTCACTTGCAACAGAAAAAGTCCAAACTTATCACAGCATTCCAGGCTCTCCCAAACCTGTTTACCTCCTATGATTTTCCCCGATGCACTGCACCACCTAGTCAAATTGGAGCCTAGGGAGCTAGGAGGTGGGGAACTTGGTAAAACTACCAAGAAGGAATGCATCCCTTTTCACTATCTCTTGCTGCAGTCAGCCAGACAGCCCTTCTGTTGCTGCATGTGTAACTGCTTTACCCCGGGGC